AGGTCTTCTCCAACCCTGATGGTTCTGATATCCTAACATTTATTAGGGGAAAACTAGTTCCAGGATAAAAGAACTACTTATTCACTGAAGCTTATTTTTCAATAGGGAAAAGATGTATAATGAAGTGACGAAATCTGTGCAAAACCCCAACAGCAGTTCTCACTTGCTGTCACAGTCCCAGAATAACTGGCATAAGCCAGAACACCCTTTGTGTTCCATTCCCACTGCATCCAACAGCAAACTTCTCACTAGCTCCAACCAAAAAGATTCAGGACAGAAACTGGCAAGCACATTTGAGCACAACCACATTTCTTTTTAACATTACCAATGGGGTGCTCTGTTAAATAGGCACAAATCTGCAGTGATTGATGTGAAGTGAGTCTGAACACCTTTTATATAAACACCTTTCTACTGAATTGCCAAAGAAATTTGCTTTCAGCATTTATTGTTCCTCCTGCTTCCCACACACCTCAGATCCAGCAAAATGCACCTGACAAAGGTTCAAAGGGTTTTTTATAAACTGTCCATACTAATTGTAGCAGCTCCCACAGGCCTGTAGGAAAAAAAAAATTGTTCTTCTCCTTTCAAATCTTCCCCTGTAAACTGAAGACATCTTTTGAAGGTTTTTCAGCCCTAGAGACTTTGACATTTGAGAACAGTGATCACACAATGGAAAGGAGCAGATCTGTCTCAAAGGCAGAGTTGTGTTCGTGCACAGAGCTTCCTGAACAGAGAGAAATGTAGTTACCTTCAGCTTTTAATGCTGACTTTGCATGTCCTATGGCTTCCCATGGAGATGGAATATCCAGGAACACTGCATCTGCAATGTTGGAGACACCAAACCCGTTTTGGCAGACATCCTGGTTGGTGACAGTGACCAGGTGCTCCACCCCATGCTCCCGAAACTCCTCCCGGGCCTTCTCAGCTCTCTGTTGGTGGAACTCCACTGTGTACAGGTGTCCTGTGGGAGACACTGTCCGGATGATAGCATGGGAGAGGGATCCACTGCCCGTACCTAAAAGAGACAAACAGCTCATGAAATGCCCTTTGTCAGTGCCAAGTATCAGAAGAAAGGTCTTCTCCATTAGTTCTCCTGCTTGGAACACTTCCTCAAAACCCCAATGAACAGAAAGCATTAGTTAAGCTGCTGAGAGAGAACAGTCCTTCCTTCACAGGGAGAGAGGGACTAAGTGACCTAGGAAACAGTCTTCAGGGTCCTCAAAGCATGCATTGAAAGTCTGGCAAACTCAGGACCTGTCCTATCTCCCTGGAGTAGAAAACTAGAGCAGAAATGCCAAGCTCCAACAAGTGCCACAAGAGAACACAAGGAAGTAAATGCAACAGGAAAAATTCAGGGAAATTAACTGAAGAGGTTTTTTTCCAGAGTGAAAAGAGGTTAAGGCAAATTTTAAAACCTTATACTTCACTGCACAAAGAAAAGGTGTTGGCAAAGGTCAGTGCTTGAAAATCCTATTAATATCTGTGCAAACAATTGGCCTTCAGGATACAGAGTTTGCTTGGCCCAGGACTCTTAAGAGGCACTGGGCACCCTCAAATCCCACTGAAATTATCCTTGCAGCCACACTGACCTGTGTGTCACAGGTCACTTGCACACACACATGTCTACACAGGCTGAACTCAGTCTAACAGGATCCATCACAAACCTGAAACTGGATGCAAGTGCAGTTACCACATACAAACAGGGATTAGCAAGACACAGGGTTTTTTTTCCTTGGTTTAGCTTGATAAGAAACTTATTTTAAATGATCCATTGGCATACTAAATAGACGAATGACTAATAATGAACATTTTCACTGACGAAAACAGCAATTCCCATTGCAAACTGCTCACTCATTTAACAGAGGAACCCCCCGAGCTCAAAACCCCACAGAAACCCCAAATTATCTCTGTTTATTGATTCCTAACTCTGTGCTTGGAACACGTCTCCTGTAGAAAGAAAACCTACTTCCAGCTATCTTCAGTGCCTGTTCAGGCTAAATTTCAGCCTCAAGCAAGTTCTTTCAACTAACATAAATATTAAAATACTTAAGAAGGCCAAAATATGAAGTACAGCAGCTCAGAAACTAGCGGAAAGAAAATTAATCAGGGGACACAGGAGCTGGTGCAGTTGCTTAATTGGAGCAAAACTTTCCGTAGCCATACAGGAAGTGTGAGTTCATGGATGGATTCAAAGTTCTTGCCCTCTAGTCACGTCAGGGAAGGAGCTCTATCGTGGCCCTGTATTTAATCTGACAGCTCTGAAAGGGGAGATTTTCAGACTGTAAACAGAGCTCAGGGCCTGTGTTTGCCACTGGATCAACAGACTGCACAGCTTCTCTGCTTCCTCCTGAGAGGGCTCTGACCCCAGCGGGCAGACCAGCACCCCCACAGCTGTAACAGGGCAGATTAGACAGGGACAGAGGACCTACAGAATTTAGCACTGGCCTCAGAGAGGTCCAAGAGAAGAGAGAAACTGTGACACTTGTATTTAATAACATGGAAATTCAGACATTCGTGCCAGTGCTAACACAAAGCAAACAAAAAGCAAAGCACACTTAGATGTGCAAGCATCAAAAATTATCTGGTCACAGCACTTTTAAGTTCTAAATGTCCACATAAACTTTTCCCTGGTCAGAAAGGAGTAATGGTAGCACAGCAGTCATGTGCTTGTGCAAACTCCATTGCATAGTGCCCCATAAAGAAATGGCATTCCATTGATTTTTTTTAATGATGAGCAGGGAACTATTGCTCAGAGAATGCTACAGACTGAAATTCTGCCTTTACAGTTCGTGCCATCAGGGAGGATTACACAACTGAGAACTACTGGGGAAGGGATTTAATTATTTTACCTCTCAAATGGGTAATGCTGCACACTTTGTGCATCTCCCTCTGCTAATCTAAAGGAGTGAACAGAAGGACTGTCAGCACAGCTGGGCTGTAAGCAGAAGAGAGAAGCAGCTTGTGCATGTATCCAGTTTCCTTGATCATATTCTTTTACATTTTTAATCACTTTCCTTTTAAATCTGCTCTTAAAAACACCACAGAAGATACTGTTTACCTCCTGCATAGGAAAACCCATTAAGATTTTTTGGCTTCTTTTCTGATGCTTTTCTTTTATTAACAAACACTCCAAGCCAAACCCTGAGCTAAAACCAGGATGCTGCAAGTCACCACTTAGAGGCCTATTCCAGACAGACCTTTTGTTAAACAAGGTTGCCAGGAATTATTTATTGTTGACTGGCTCCCACAAACATGAGAACAATACATATGTATCACATTTTAACATATCAAATTCTTTCCCATGAACAGCACTAATGAGAGGGTTTCTCTGCCTGTCTCTCTGTGACAACACTCCCAAAACTGCAGGAAGCAAAGAACAAGATGGTTATGAATCACCCACCACTGTCAGAGCTTTCCTTGAAGAGATGACAGATTCTGAGCCCAGACCTGTGAAACCATGATGACCCTCAACTCTCATGTGCCTGACAGTTCAGCACACTTGATGTGATCCATTAATAATAGGAGAGTCTGGCACGAGTCCATGCTCACCACAAGCCCCAAAGATCAATCAGCACTGTCTACAGAAGGCAGGGGTTCAACTCTATGTTTCTGTGCTGCTGTAGAAGAGGAAATGAATATTTATATTCACCTTCTCCCCTGCAAATCTGCAACATTCAACATTTGAGTCCTCCCACCACCTTCTCAATTAACTTTCCATTTCTCTTTGCCCTTATTTAAAAATCACTACTGAAAAAAAAAGCAGTATTCAGCAAAATATGACTCAAAGAGTCCTAGGCACCAGTTTGGAGTAAGTTCTAGTGAGGTACAGTTCACTGGGAAATGAAAGGTACCCTTAGCATGACACAGAATCAGTCAGCACAGCAGCAAAACACAAGGAGTACTACTGAGGACATGTACTAGAATGCTACCAAAACTGAAAGAGAAGACCTGAACTACCTGTATACAAATGAACCAAACACCTGAATGCTCAAAAACTGCTATTTTGTATCAGAAGAGGCAAGACAAGCACTGGAAGAACTTCAATGGATTTTTATTCTTGTACAGGTGCAGTGAAATGTCTGTGTTCCTGATCTGACCTAGAAAGCAGAAGGTAAGACAACTAGAACAAATAGTTTATAATTTTGGCACAAAGATGCTTCTTTCCTGACAGCCTCCACTATAAATAGCCTTAGGAACTGTTTGCTCTCCATCACAGCACAATGCCCATCTAACCACTGCATATTAATGATGAATGGACTCTACAGAAGAGAGGTAAAATAACAGTTCAAACTGTACTGAAGGTGTTCGTAACAGCACAGCTGCTGCTCAGAGCTCACTTAGGTGAGCACTCGTGTCACATGAAAAATATGATGCTCTTTTCCATTGACTGCTCTGTGACCTCAAACATGCTTGTCAAAAAGGAGACACTTGCACTGCAGGCAGTTAATGAGACTCTGCAGGGTCCTCAATATGCCACACTCAAAGCACAAACTCTGAGGAGGTGGCACTGTGCAGGGGATTGGTGTGTAGGCTTGGGAAGTGATCCATCTCAGTCCAAAGGCAGGAATTAAGATCCTCTGTTAAAGATCCTGTGTTAAACCCACATGAGTGAGGTAGCTAATGGCCCTGCACACCTTGGGCTCAAGCACATGCCCTTCTCCTTCTCTGATATGTTTAAGCCAACAGTGTGCACAGGTGGCCAAGAAGGCCAAGGGCATCTTGGCCTGGATCAAGAGCAGTGTGGCAGTGCTCATCCCCCTGGACTGGGCACTGGGGAGGTCCCAGCTCAGTGCTGTGCTCAGCTTTGGGCACTCACTGCCCAAAGGCCATTGAGGCACTGGAGCGAGTCCAGCCAAGGGCAACGAGGGCAGCAAAGGGCTAGAGCACATGGGCAAGGGCTGAGGGACTTGGGCTTGGTCAGCCTGGAGAAGAGGCTCAGGGGTGACCTCCTGGCTCTCTGCAACTCCCTGACAGGGCTGGAGAGAGGTGGGGGATGTGTGCCCCGCCAGGGCTGCAGGGAGAGGATAGAGGGAATGGCCTTGAGCTGAGCCAGGGCAGAGTCAGATTGGATGTGAGGAGAAATGTTTTCCCTGTGAGGGTGTTGAGGCCCTGGGATATTGCCCAGGGAGGTGGTGGAGTCACCATCCCTGGAAGTATTTAAGAGGCATCTGGATCTGTCACTGGAGGATCTGGTTTAGGGGTTCCAGCAGTGACAGGTTAATGGTTAGACTTGATGATCGAAGAGGCCTCCTTCAACCTTCCAAGTTCTATGATTATAAGCTCAGAGAAATGTTTCTGCCCTCTCCCAAGACATGGAAAACACTGCAGTTTTAGAACGATTTCAGTCCTAACAAGTGGACATCTAGATGAAACACTAGCTCAGCACCTACTAATACTTCTCTCTGATTTGCCAACAATAAAGTATTGATCATTGCCCTGACCTCAGATAGATTTGTTCTTCTCACTCTGCTTGTTCAAGTGACAGGTTTGCCATAGAGAAGCTTCCACACACCTCATCCATCTTGAGACAACATCCATGTTAAGATCATTTCTCACCTTCTCCAGGCTGCAGTGGACAATATCTGAGCTGTTCATGGAGAACATGTGCTATCTCAGCACTGAACACTGTCACAAGACACGTTTTGCCACAGCATCTAGCACAGAGCTCAACTGATATAGAATACAGAGTGCATTTTTACACTGTTTTCTGTTTACTCTGGTTTGCTTATTGCAAAGGATATTTTTCTAATCTCCTGGAATCCCACCCATGCCATAAACATCAGTGACCTGATTCTGTGCTTCAGTACATTTCCTCTTCGCAGGCTATTGCTTGGTTTGTGTTCCCTAGAAATTCCTCATCAGGAGAGCTTCTTTTCAAATGGGGAATTACACATTGTGGTTTAGGATCTATAGATGTTTACAGCTGTGCAGAAGCAAAAGCATTTTGGAATAAAGCTGAATAAGCTCTTAGTGCATACATAGGTTCATATATTGCTTGGAAACAGGAAGAGTATG